ACCAGGAGTACGCCCGGTCGGACGGGTCGATGAGGATGGTGATGATCTTGGCCTTGGGGATGAGGGAAGCAGCTCTCTTGGGAGCCTCCTCAGAGTGGAAATAGTTGGCACTTTTCTCGAAGAGGAGGTCGGTAGTGACGTTGGAGGGAGTGGGGAAGAAATCCATGTACCTGGGAGGGGAGGAGACTTGTTAGAATTCCCAGCAGCACAAAAGGGCCATATTCCTGTGCGTTCCCTTTTCATAGTGGGTGAAAAGGCAGATTTTCAGACATAATCCTGCAGGAGCAAAATTGAATTTCTCAGCTCACTCCAGGCTGGAAGAAGGGGAGTGCATCTTGGCACTTAGGTGGTGCTGGTAATAGCTAAAGCCACCCCGAAGTCAGGTAATTAGGTTTTTCCTTAGACGGATGGGATTTTTGCTAATAAGTTCGGTGTCAAAGGGATATCTTTCACCAGTCTGGAGTGAGCTCAGTTTTAGCTGCAGGATAAAAAAAAATGGGAAAAGCTTCAAAATGTCAACTATTTAATTTTAACATTGCTGAAGTACTTCATTTTGGAGCTGACAAATCTTTGCTTTGGGACGCTTTCGGAATGCGAGATTCGAATTTTGGCTTTGAATGGTCTTCTCCATTTCAAATTGATTGGATGGATTCTCAGGGAGAGATGAATCAAACCTTACTTCATGAAAAGCCACTTTTGGAGGAAAAGGATGTAACTCAGTGCAGATACAGAGCTGCTTTTCAACAGGAAGACAGAAATCATGCCTGAGCTGGCTCTTGTACAAGAAACCTTGGTGTGAAAAATCAGCAAATTGTTACTGCAGTATCTAAACAAAATTAGGGACTTGATTAAATGTCCCATCATAACCCATTAGACTCTCTCTCTGTCTGATAATGCCAAGCATAACAAATTCATCCAGTAATTATGGTGGTGTCATACATGCTTCTGGAATTGTTCCATTGTCATTTTCTGTGTATTAATAATGAATTTGTTCTTCTCCTTACCAGTCAATTCCCTTGTGGTAGTTGTTGCCGTTGAAGAACTGAACTTCCTCAAAAGTTTTTGGGCTGGGGAGATTACTGATAATGGAAGGATGCATCAGAAGGAATAAATAAAGGGCTGTTGTTCCTGAGGTGACAAAAAATAGGAGGAAAAAAAAGCACCTTTGACTTTATGCACTCAAGAAAGTTTCTAAAAGCTCTAATTGTGGGATGACGCTCCTGGGGCTCCCAGAGCTGCACTTTTGTACTCGGGGGGCTTTTCCTGGGGGTCTGTGCTGGGGAGTGAGTTGCCTATCTCAGGGCTGTCCATGCTGTGTGCAACCCACTTTAAAATCCCAGGAATGAGGTTTGTCACGGTGAGTGAAGCCATTTCCCTGCACAAAGAGTTGTCCCTTTCTGTGGGCGGGGAAGGAGTAACTGCGGAACTGCGGAGGGATCGGAAGTGGCAGGCAGTTGTCTCCTGTTTACAGGACACAAACACACAGGTACAAAACTTTGGGTTACAGATTTTTGGGTTCTTACCTGTTTTCTGGGGTCCTATCACCAGGAATTTGGGCAGGTGGTCACAAGTCTTGTCTCTGGACCAAATGTCCCTGTGTCGTTTGTCGTCGCACGGGTTCTGAGGGAGGAAAGGTGTTTGGGTCCATCACACTTAACTAAATTTTTGCATGAACAGTCTTTGCAGGATTTAAACGTTATGCACTAATGCACAGCATTAGTTACACTGAGGAGTAAAGCCCCACAATGTGTGTATAATGGTTTTGCGTGACTGAGGACTAATTTTGGTCATTAGGAAAAAGGAGAAGGAAAAGAAGGAGGGGGGGAAAAATTAAATCTTTGATTTAATCAAGTTTTCATTCGAGGTTAAAGAGGAAACTTCTGAAGGCATTACTTTCTGGGGTGTCAAGATGGTTATGATTTACATGAGGATGCAAAAAGGAAGGACGAAATAGAAATGTGGGATGCTATCAATCTCCTTCTCTTTCTACTACCTATGAAGGCAAAACAAAAACCCGTGAAGGAAAGGCCTCTTTTTACACGAAGAAATCCTTGTTGCAGGAGGCGGATTGCGACTAGGGGAGGGAGAGGATGCGGCATTACCTGCCAGAGGGGGTCTGTCTGCTCTGGGAAGAGCTGGAAGTACTTGTGGGCCAGCTGGAGCGGGGGCAGCGTCTGCAGGTTGAGGTTGGTGGAGCTCTTGACGAAGCTGGCGAGGTTGGCAAAGGTGTAGAGGCCCAGGCGGTCGTTGCCATAGTTGGACAGGTGGGTCATGAAGATGCTGATCTGGGAGGCAAGAGGGAGCTTCCAGTCACGGGACTCCTGCCCAGACACTCTCCCCCCCACCCAAACCCGAAAGAAAAGAGGGGAGAAGGTAAACTAGTCCCGCTTCTTCTCCTCCGTACGTGACTGTTTTTCCCGGCACATCGGCCCGGGACAGGATGGAATGGCAGTGGAATCTGATTCCAGCTGCAGGCAGGGGTGGGGGAATGAGCCAAGAGTATTTTGGGGTGTGAGGCCACCAGATTCACAGGTGACTGGCTTGCTCTGCAGAGAGATATCTGTGTCCAGGTGAGCCCTGGTTTGGATGATTAGGAATGGGAAGTGTGAGGTTATAAAAGGGTGTGCAGGCAGAAGGGAAGAGGCTGCAGGGGAGCGTGTGCCCCTTCCTCTTCGGAAAGCTGCGGCAGGAGACACGTCAAGGTCAGTGGGCTGTGGTTTCTTTTCCTCTCTAATATCTTGAGCGGAGCTGGATGTAGTTTGGGGGAGACCTTGGGGTGTCAAGGTGTGTGTTGTTGTTGTTGCTGAGGGTAGTTTATGGCTGGAAACCAGGTGGGCTGTCCTGGCACCCTGGTCCTCGAGTAGGAGCTCTGGAAACACGCGTCTCAGCTGGGAGGCTGATTTACCCCAGCAGCTAAACTGGTGGGAAGTGCTGAGTCCCAAAATTTGGGACATTCGTGCCTAAAATGTCTGCAAAATGCCCATGTGTGTCTCAGGAAGGTTGTAGTCACTGATCCACCTGGAGATGAAGTTTTCCCTTTGTTTATTTTTGCGGTCCCGAGCTTGTCCAGAGCACGCTGTGCTCCCCTGACTTTCAGAATCCCCGTGGGATAAAAAGCCACAAGCTTCCCACTCTCCCCATCTCGCTCTGCCAAGGTGGTGCTGCTCTGAACAACAGCCCACAAGGTTTCAAACCACGTCCATTAGTTTGTTAAATTATTAACAAGGCTTTTAGTACTTCTAGAAGGTGGAGACAGATGGAGCTGAGAGGAGTGTCCCTCATGGCCCCTCTGCAGGGGGTTTGCACTGTGCACACTTTATTCCTCTGAAAGTAATTTATCCTTCACTTTGATTCCATTCTGAGCCTCTGTTGAGCCAAGATTGGCAACTGTACAAGTTCTTTTTGCTGTTGGCTCAACTTGGTGGATTCAGGAGCCCTTGCAATTTAGGACCAAAAGTATTTGACACAGAGTGAACATTAAAATTACCCTAACTTTGGTGCATGTTTCTGTGTAGTACCCCAGAAACTTATAGGGAAGGTGATGAATCATCTTCTTCTCCCCCCAGAAAACCCAACACAAAGATATCCTGCCTAGTTTAGAGTTCAGCTCCTCAAAAGGTGACAAGTGCTTCCTGCAAGCTAAGTGATGAAAACACTTGTAGGAAATGTTAATGGGGGATATAATCCTGGCTCTGAAGGGGTTTTTGATGGCTGCTAACAGGTCTGCCAATGACATTTAATGTTATTGCAGCAAATGAAGTTCTGCAAGTAAATCATGTGGTTTGTTTACCCTTGAAAATGGAGGAGACTTCCTTTTAATGTTAAAGGTACTTGTAGGAAATGGGTATTAGCTTATCTCAGGAGTTTCATTGGGCTGCAAACCCGTTTAAAAGATCCAATTGATCAGTTTTTACGGACTCAAAAGATCTTGGACATCTCTCCTGACTTCTCTCGCTCCGTTGATCTTTTTTTGAAGTGAGAACCCCCCAAACCTGATGCATTATTCATGGGATAAAACCGTGCCTAATTCTTTGCTATCTACCTCCAAATCACTTGAGACAAAGGAGAGGGGCTTTTACTGTTCATGTTTACAGCATGGATGGGCACCAGAGTCTGTGTCCATGCACATGCATCAATCCATGGAAAATGCAATAGTCTGGGGCTGGTGCTGGGGATTATGCCGTTCTGGCTGCTAAATCATATTATTTCCCCTAGGCTGGGTGGGTAGAGGGAAAGAAAGGTATTTTAGAGAAACCACATTCTGCACGGGGCTATTTACCAGCTCTTCTGCTCCTAAACCATAATATTTGGTGAGTGACTGATTGACAAACTGGAACTGGTCACATCTATGATATGAGATTAATTTACAAGCAATAGCAGCAGCACCACACCGTTTCACTATCTGGTTCTTGTTTCCAGGGCTTTTGAAAATCAGTTCTGTGCAGAAATTACACATCCATAGTGTATTCCCTACCTGTAATATTTGCATATGCGTGCTAGTGTTATGTATGAAATGAAATGTGGATTAGGTAGCAGAGAAAAACAAAGGGCTTGTTCCAAAATTATTTGGATATAAACCGTGCTGGATCTGCTTAAAGTGCCCTGAAACTGCTTTCTGTGCTCAGACCTGATGCACACCTATTAATGCAGAGGGTAGGGGTTTATTTCCCCCTGTAATTGCCAAGCTTAGTATAGGCTTAGCTAAAAGCACTTAGTTTTGGACAGAGATTATCCACCTGAATCCCGGGACACTCCGGTCCTCAACGCAGCGGTTTGTGCGGCAGCGCTCGGAGGAACCCGGCAGGGGGAGTTTTGTGTTGACAAAGCACTAATTTTAATAATGACAAATTGTATCTCTGGAATTCGGCGCCATTCATATTCATGACCCTTATCTGCTGCTGAAGCGAAATCATTTATACGCCTGAAAATCACCGCCTGGGTTGTTTGTTTGTTTGTTTATTTTTAACTTTTACTCCGTTTCCTCTCTGCACATCTTTCTACGTTTTAACGTTCTTGACAGGATAATCAAATATTTTCTGAGCATGATATCTCTAAAGAAAGCAACAAAAGGCAGTGTTTGGAAAGAAACATTTTTGCCTTTCACTGAAGGGGAAACAAAGCAGTTGAATGATGTTTTATTTCCCGTGCCCATATTCATTACCGGGTCTGTTTTCCAGGCCAAGTGTTCCCAGGGATGGGAGGTGAAGCTGCTGTCCATCAGTGGTGGGATGTGGCCCTGGGACAGCTGTCCAAAAGAGCATCTGTGTTGTTTCAAAATTCCCTATTCAAAGAGCAGAATTGTTCCTCCTTTACCCGGGCACGCTTTCTACTTTTCCATTATTTAGTTGCCGTGATTTAAATGAATTCTTTATTACTGACAGAAAAATGCTGTGCCTCGTCCCTTTCCCTAAGAGAATAAAGCTGCTGGGTTTGCTTTTTTATTTTTTATTTTTTATTTTTTATTTTCTAAGATTTATCCAAGTCCTGCTTCTAAAATCGAGCCCAAATCCTGACCACATTCCAACACAGCAGGTGTTCCCCAGGCTGTACACGTTTTTGACACCATGGATGTGTGGGGTCCAAGGCAAGGAAGTTCCAATCCATCAGTTCTACCTATTAGTTATATATTTATATTTTTAAAAGCCTGCAATTAAAAAAAAATGTGGTTTGTTTTGGTTTTTGTTTTGGGTGTTTTTTTTTTGTTTTGTTTGTGGTTTTTTGGTTTTTTTGAGGGCATGTGAAAGAACAACTGCTGCTGTGGATGAGTTGAGGCAGTCGGTGCGTGGCTGCTTTAGGGTGGAAAACCTAAATGGATATTTTTTACGACTGTTCATTCGTCACCCTTTACAAGTGATCAGCAGCACAGCTAATTGTGGCCAAAGCTGAATGAATTCTGCCCAGATGTGGTGCTGCCACTCCCATCTGTGAGCACCAGCAAGTCTACAGCAATTCAGTCCTCTTGTTATAAGCAGGTATTTCCATTTTTTGGTGAAATTCATGACACAGGAATTTGTTTTCTTGCCATCTGTGTTTTCTCATTCCTTAGACTATAAACCCCCCTCAGAAAAAAAAGAAATCTATTCAGTTCAGACTCAAGAATAAACCCAAGTTCAAATTAAAGAAGTAGAGCAGATTAAACTGTTTTTAGGTACTATTGGCTTAAGTCACGCTCAAAGACCCAGATTAAATCACTATCAAGAGCCAGGGCTATAGAGGAAAGGGGACATCCAGACAGAAAAAAAATGGTCAAAATCATTCTTAGTGGTTCCTGTGGTTAAATAAGGTCTGGTTCTAAGTGTGCTTGGGGTGATGGGATGGATTGTGTCTGTTATCCTTGATGTGGCACTTCGTAGTCCCCAGGCAGAGCAAGGAAAAGTCTCTCAGATGATCCTTTTGATACTGGGCACTCGTGTAAACTCTAAGGAAGAGTTTGCACCAGGCTATTTACTTTAGGACTGCAAGGAAATGCCAGGCAGGTTGATATAGATTGGAGATGCAGGGAATTTATCACTTGTTTCTATAACTGTTCTCCTGTCATGTTGCTATTCCAGCAGTTTTCTGAAGAGCTGATGGCTCTGTGTTATGGAGTGTTCATAAATGATGATTAATTAATCCATTTCGGTGGCCTACTCTGAGCAAACAAACCTCAGAGTTAATTTAATTCTCCACTCTTGGTTTCAGAGGAAAAAAAAAAACAACCACCAAAACCCCCAGCATATTCAGTTCACTAGAGGATATAATGCTCTCCAATCAGCCACTTCCCAATTAATTTGGAATGGCGAGCACAGCGAGGAGATTTCGTTCTTGTCCATTTGCTTCTATTAAGGACTCGTTTTCAATAATCAGGGAACTCTGAGTCAGCTGGTTTTTACCTTAAAGACTTGCTCCTGACAGTGTAATAAATTCATAGGTGGCGTGTGCTTGCAGGTAACAGGTTCCCTCCCTCTTTCCCCAGTGACCCCCTCGCTGATTGCAGTTGTTTGTTGCTATTTCTGCCCTCACCCATCTTACTGGGGAGTGATTCTGCTAAAATACCAAAATACGTGGTGTGGAGCATCAGCCTGAGCCAAGCAGGGAAATGTCAGGAAAGAAGGAAAGGAGGTGTGTTATCCTTCAGATATTCTCTTCATGCCCCGAGTTCCCAGCTAATTAATTTCTAAATCTGCTCCTGGAGGCTCGAGTTTCCACGGGATAATATTTTCCTGTGCCAGCTCTGTGCAGCTGGGGTAGCCATGTGGGATGAGGGGGGAAAAATAATCATTTACAAAGTGAGGGGGGGAAAAAAAAGAGTCAGAAGCCTGAGGAAGGTTCGACTTGTTTTGGTGTGTTTGTGACCATTCAGACAAATTCTGGCGTAACTTGTTAACAAAACTCCCTTTTAATTTGGTAGATTGAACATTTCCCTCTTGTCAGGTTGGAGGGGGACACATCTGTCCCTATGTCCCTACAGGCAATACCTTGCTAATTGCAGCTCAAGAAATATTGACTTTTTTTTTTTTTTTTAGTGGGAAGGTTGCTTCCTTTTTTTTTTTTTTCCCCCCTGTCCCCAAATTATGCTGAGATGCTCAATTCACAGGGCCCTTAGCAGAGCTGCATTATGAATTACTCTTGGATTGCAGCACATTTCCTCCAATGCCCAAGGTTATTTTTCATTCTTTCTACAGCTCTGCTCAGAGAAACAAAGCAAATAAGAAGAAAAATATTATTAACACTCAAGATGTTTCATAATGACACTCCCAAATCTCCTGTGGAAGGTATAAATTAACCCCTCTCTGCATTTACTTTTAATATGCTGAAGCAATAACGTGTGATTCTCATCTGTTTCTGTGATGAGGGAGAGAGGGAAACAAGAAGAAAATCTTCCAAGTATGGCCCGTGTGGGACATGGAGAACCCAGCTCCAATGGGCTGGGAATGAGCAATAACCCTTTAGTTACGGTGAGGGTTTAAAAATGTAAATGCATTTTAAGTGGCCTTCAAAATTAAAAGCATCCCGTGCCTCTTCCAGGGGAGTTGGAATAGTAATGTGCATTATTATGGGCTGCCTGCAGCTTCTGCTGAGTGGGCTTCAAAGTTACCTTTCAATCACCAGCCTGATTTGGCTCTCGACAGCCAAACTCCTGCAAAAGAAGCTAATCTTCCTGAAATTCATCTGCCACACTTCACCTCCAGCTAAAGCTTCTTAGGGCTGTTTGATTGAAGGGGGAAGAGGAGTCTGAGGACGTGTTTTTAACTTTTCCCTTTTTCTGCTACTCTTCTGTTTTTATTAATTTATAAAAATGGGCCGATCTGTCAGTGGCAAATACATCATATTTTGTTGGCTTTGTGGACACAGAATGTTGTGCAGGGTGTGCCTGTCTCTAGATCCTGTGTGGTGAGGCAGGAGTAGATCTAGAGGAGAGAGATTTTTATGTATATATATAGAAATGAAATGCAGGAATGGCCTGTGCACGTTGTCATGGTGGAACTATGGGAAGGAGACAGTGGGAGATGGGATGAAAACAGGCTGTGTTTGACAGAGGTGCCTTTTGTGCTGTCACTTTGCTGGCTTAATAAAAAGCTTTCTGGTTTAAAGAGGTGTTTTTTGGGAGAAATGACTCTCTGGCTGTTGTTTGCAGGGGCAATAATATTTAGGGCTGTATTTATTAGCTTATCTTGGCTGTTAAATGTTTATGGCTGTTGTTTATGGCCTGTGGAGCAGGGGAGTAAAGGAGAGGAGCCAGCAGACAGATAGTGGGAGACCCTGTGGCTGCTGGAGAGCTGATATATGGAACAATTTGTAAAAGCACCCTTTAAATATGTCAGGGCTTTTCCCAGGAGACTGAATGAAGGGCAACAGTCAGGGAACATGGGCTGAACCCACTTAGTTTGGAGCCTGACGTTTGGAGGTGGAAAATCCCCCTTAAAACTTCAACTCCAAGGAAGATTTTTTGCTGCTGAAAGTATTTCAGTTTGGGAATTGTGTGTTACCAGCGGGCTGATTTTAGTGCTGCTTAACTTGTCTTTCTCTGTGGAGTGTGTCAAAACCAGAAGTGGATGGAAAGTTGATGGGAATGTATTTAAACAGGAAGGGGAGGCCGAGCAAAGGAACGTGACACAGAACTGCTGAACAGAGCAAACAGGAAGGGGGCTTTGAATATATTCTTTGAGGAGAAAAAAGTCATTCTAAAGGACAATTAAACTAAGTAAACAATGAGAAGTAGAATTTTTTTAAAAAAATGCTGAAAATGAATATAATGCCATAAAAAATTGAATGTTAATAATAATTAGATTGGGCACAAACCCAGTTTTTACACTTTGACTGACTGAAGTTTGAGGTGTCACTTCCCCCCTTCCCTTCTTTCTACTGATTGTGGTGATTTTGCTGCTCTATTTTCACTGCTAATGTGAAAGTGCTGATGCTATGAATTTTGGGAAGTCTGTCCTAATTAAGATGTAGCCAAGAACTGGGTTTTGATGTTTGTCAGACCCCATAGTAAATAACATCAGAGATGATACAACTTAAACTGATTAAACACCCAGCTTAGGTCTGGCAAGGGAGATAGATAAAAACATTTCAGCTGAATGTTTCATTGCTTGGGAAGGAAAACCCCAAGAAGGCAATAATGTCTCATTTTCCACCCTAAACTATACCTGCATTTCTTATTTTTCCATGCAACTGAAGCTCCTTGTTATTGTTTTAAGCCCCCAAATGAAGGAGATCCTTCGGAGGGGAGCTGGATTGGTACCTTTTGGAAGAGTTTTGCTGTTTGGGTTTATTTCCAGCCCAGTCTGTTCACTGAGACTTTCTCACTACCTTTAATGAGCTTTGCTTTGAAGTGTTTATGCAAAGAATAAGTCCCCCACAAACTGCAGACTCCCAGCATTAGCTGGAGCCTGGAAAGGTCTGGCTGGGATTCTTGTCACCCTCATTAAAACTCAAAGGAAAGTTGGTTTGATTTCTGTCTGTCTTGGTGGAATTTATCCCTCCTCTGCTACTACTAAATCATCTCTGCCAGACATGACTCATCTTCAGGATTCATAAATTAGAAAGTGAAAATATCTCTCTGAGCCACAGAGTACTCAGTAGCAGCCATTTAAAACAAAAAAAATCCCGTCGGAAGATCCCTTTGACAGTCTCTCTGCAAAGTCTTTATTCCAATGCACTGCCACTTGGGCACTTTCTAATTTAACCAACTCTGTGGCACTGCTGCCTGGAAGTGCAAACATTTTTGGTATTCGAGCTTAACGTTTGTTTGTAATTTGCTGAAATTGCTAATTACGACCCGAGTAAGGGACAGGGTTCCTGTAAACCCCTCTTGAAAAAATGTTTAGTCTCCAACAGCCAAAGGGGGTGCTGTGCTGACTTCAGTCAAGGCACTGTGATTATCCCTGGAGTTTGAAACAGTCTGAGAAAGTCTGTCTTGAACTGTGTGGGGGAAACATGTAATGATTCTATTTACTGGAGTGTAAATTGTGGGCGCCTTGTCTGTAAATAATGTGGACCTGAACTGAACTACAACCAGGTGTACTCTTATTCTCCCTGCCTACTGAAGGTATTTGGTACTGGTTGTCCAAGCTGATATCCAAACTCTAAGGAAGCTTATTAATGAGTGGAGGTGTGTGAAAAGCTGGCAGGATGTGAGGTGGGAAGTTTCCTGCTGTTGTTCCCGTGTGTGCTGCTGCCGGTTTGGAGAACGCATCACATTTAAACATCAAGAGTGCAGAGAGGCTGTTTCTTTTCAAATACCACACAACAAAATATATATTGCACTCCCAAGTTACTGGGGCGTAGGCTGGCTGAGGAATTTGGGCTGTTGCAAGGAGCACTCGTGGAGTAAAAACATGCTCTGCCCACACCTGAGGGAATCATCAGATCAGTGACAAGGGCACAGGTATTGATCAAAGTGTGCTAAAGCCAAGCTTAAATTCAAAGTAACACTTAAGGAAACTATGGGGAGAAAAGCCAGCCTGAGAGAACTGCAAGGAATGGAGAGAGAGAGTAAAGAACTGGGATCTATTTTATTCTCAAATTAGGTGTCACGTGGATGGTACAGACAAATGCCTGATAGAAATGTCCCATTTCTTTAAGCCCGCTGAATCTGGCTCGGATATCAACTTAGCTCCCCAGCCAAAAATTTTCACCCCCAAGCACCTAATTATATAATACCCAAAAAGTCTATATTTAGGTGTCTAAATAGAAGTGACCTGGATTTGAGAGTCAGCTGCACCTGAAGTTTCTTTAGCTCTGCAGAGGAGTCAGTGAGTGCTGCAATTTAAACCCGCTGAAAATGAGGCCACCTGGCAAGACAAGAGACATTTATCTTGTGACTAGTGCAGCTTCTTTGGGGGGAGCAGGAGCAAGGGAGGACAAAATAACTGATGTATGGCTTTTTGTTTTGTTGTCCTTGCTACTTGCACCTCGAGGCTGCTGCCTTAAATGGCACCAGACTTTTCAGGTGCTCAAAACCTATTTTTAAGAGCCAGCGGTGGAGGAATGATATGAGGCCTGAGCCCTGGGGTTTCCACTGAGCTGTACCAGGAGTGCCTGAGGAGCCAAGCTTGGGGAAGAAAGGAAAGGAGGAGTAAGATCACAGGTTTTTCTACCCTTGCTGTCTCAGACAAGTTTCTTCCCAGTTTCAGTCTGGAAAACACTATGGGGATGAAAGCCATGCATTTTCCAGGAACTTGTTGCTTACAGTTGTAGTTAGAAATAGGCAGAAGGCATTGTTCTCCTTTCTTTTAAAACTGCTTGTTACCTCTCAGCAAGTGGTCCTGATTTTCATTTCCCAAGCAAGATCCAGGAAAACTGACATCCTTCCCTTCCTCCCTCCTCCCTCCCTCCTCCCTCTTAGTCCAAAAAATAGCAAAAGAAAGGTACCTACGGGATTCAGGAGAATGGTGAGGAACAGTTCACCTCCTCGGATACTTTTGTCCAGCTCCTGAGGACCCCCAGGATATTCCTTGTAGAAAATAGTGTGAGTGAAAAGGCCACAGGTCTGTCGAGGGAGCACCTGAGAACAAAAGAACAGTGCCTTACAGGGATTGCCTAATCCATGCAGAGACGTAACTGAGCCGGGGAAGGGCTTTTGTCTGCCTTAATTCAATATTTTGATGTTTTTACTCAGTGAAAACAACAAACTAAACTTAGGTTCAGCAGAGCATTTGGAGAATGTGTAAATACACTGCTGATTTTGAGTCTATTCCAGTAGTAACTGGACTCTGTGCAGGAACCTGGGGTTAGGACATTCCTTCTGCCTTGTTTAGGGGCTCACAATTTTGGCTTGATGTGCACAGTCAATATTCAGGTCAGCTGGGACTTGGAACCATCCCGGGACCTGCCCTTGAAATAGGGGACAGGCCGAATAATTCCATACCTTTCCCTGCCCTCTGTGCTCTTTGAAGTGTGTGTGAGGAGCCTTCTCTCTCTCCTCACACGTGTGCAGGGTTTGGAACACTCAGACAAGGTTGTCCCAGTCCCTGGCTCTGGGAATTTCGGAAGCAAAGCTGACACCTCGGCCTCGGAGAAGTGTCATCTCTGCAGGAGGAGATTACCTGCTCACCTTCCCAGGTGATGGATTTCTAATCCTTTCATGCATAAAGATGAAGCAGAGCTGGAAACACGGGTCTTAGGCAGTTTAATGAATTTCACGGGGTTGAAAGTTGATGGCACCACCAGCACGTCTGCTTTCCTAGGATTCCATTTGCAGTTGCCCGAGTTTGTGGGACTAGTTGTTCCCCCCCCCCCGCCTCTTCTAAACTGGCCACATAACAAATGCACCATTTTGGCATCCTTACAAATCCTGCACGGCGGGGAATTTTAGCGGTTGCTGGGAAAGCTGGAGCGCAGCAAACCCAGCTCGGGTTGGGAGTCCCTGCAGTACAAGTGTCGGAAGATGGAAATGCAGTGTACCATGATGCCATTGTGGATGAAGCCCCGTCTGTACCGTGCAGGCTTCAGGTGGGGATACTCTTCCGTGCTGGTCACTCGGATGTGCCACACCTTCTTCCAGGCCTCGTACAGCTGGATGTGCACGGGATAGACCCCGGAGTGGTGGGGGGCCACCGCGTAGCCCATGCCGGTCGGGATGCCGTGCTCCTGCAAGGCAGCACAGGGGGAATGTTGGTTTAGGGACAAAAAAAAAGCCCAGGGAGTTACCCAAAGCTCGTTTTTCCTGCGCACTGTGCCATTGGAGCGTCCCTAGGCTGACTTGTAGCTGGTGTATGTAACACAAGCTGACGGCGGAGGGAACCGGAATTCCAGTTTGGTGGCTCCGGAGGAATAAATCATCCTCCTGGATTATGTGGCGTTACTGGTGCATGGAATAGACTTGCCATGTGTTTGGATACCCATCCTACCTGCTTGGCTCTGCCTAAAGGTAATCCAGTAAACCAGTGCTAGGCTATCCAACAGCAGTAGAGCAGTAAACAGAGGGAAAACAAATTGTTGCTGTGACAAACGTGGGATTTTTGTTCCCTATTTCTGGAATAAGAGCAAGATTCCTTCCCTGTTTAATAACTAACTAAATATTCCTCATAGCTTCTGAACCTGCTTATTTTTTAATATGGTATTAAGGTAGAAGAAAAAAAAAAAAGCCGGACTCCTTTTTCGTTTCATAAATATTTATATTTAGCTCAATTTCTATGTGAAAAATGTGCATCTTCATGAATATAATCTATAGGTTATCTTGGAAATGTCTTCTGAAGGCACAAATTCATTTTATTCCCAGTACTGCAGGATACATCAGCTCCTTTCCATTCCTATAAAATTGATGTGCAGAGGGAAATGGCCAAAATATGAGAAGATTATCTGGGGTTTTGTGTCCTTCCTCTTTGCCCACATTATCCATTGATTACTTTAATTCCAGGAACAGCAGGTTCTGCTGGGCATCTTCAAGTACTTAACAAAGAAATGGGTTTGATTCATTGACAAAAATTAAGTCAAATCTGTCGGGAACACTTGTTCCTACATCACATAATGCAACCACTTAAAATTATCCATTCCTTATTAGTAGAGATCTCGGGTTAATGGCTGATCTTGTAAAAGACAAACCCAAACTCTCCATTTCATAATTTGCTGAGAACAAAATGTAATTTGAGCTTATTCCTGCTGTTACCTACTCAAGAGGCATGAGTCAGTTTAGGGGGGGAAATGAGGGACAGCTCTACAATGAGAATTGTTAAATCACCCTGTTCTCTCTATATTTTTTTTGGCCACGAATGTCTATAAAAGAAAAAAATCTGTAGCTAAAGGTTTCTTTATTACCCTGCCCGGGGGGCCTGCAATGCTCACGCTGTGAAACTGGTAACTTAAATATCCTGGACTAACTTGAACCTACAAACCTGCGCCAGACCTGTGCTGGGGAGTGCACAGAAACATAAAGGTGAGGCAAATGCGTCCTGAGGGAGATAATGAACACTGCCCTGAGAGGCAGAGGCGAAAGGAGGGATCTGCCTGGAGATGCGTAAGATCCTGTTTATCTGCTTACTGTGTGATGCTGGCATCGCCATGGCAACGGGATGGTGACATGGTCATCTGCCATTCACAAATAAAATAAGGCAGCTTTTCAGGCCTTCTCGAGATGAAAAGGAAATGAGCCTCTGAATAAAACCTGCTCGTTCCGTGGTTCATCGCACAAATACGTGGCAGGCACTCAGATGCCCGGCCTGGCTCTGAGGAGGAACAACTAACAAATAATCACATTTGCTGTGGTCGGTTCTATTTTCAGTTTACTTGGGAAAATGAAACGTTGTGTGTCCTGACTGCTCAGGACAATGTTATCCTATTTATGCAGACTATTTACAGACCATTTTTAGAGGCAATCTCTTGTGGGTGTCTCTCCTTCCCAGCACTGAGTACAGATATTAATAATGAGACAAATTAGACACTTTTCATCACATGCAGATACTTTTTGCCTTTGATACGTGGTCACTGGGCTTCACATTCTTGGTATTTAATTGGTGTATTAAAAGCCCTTGGTTTCCCTGTGGTTTGAGCAGCTCAGAAGTTTGAGGCAGAGGAAGTGCTAATGTGCATCTGTAGCTGCTTTATAAGAGAGGAGATTGGAGCCACGGAGTGTTTCTGTAAAGGTTCTGAATTGATTTGTTTTGTATCTGTTTCTGTCTCCAGATCAGCTCCCTTGACAGTCAGTGAGAGTTTTTTTTGCCCTGTCTCTCCTGTGCTTTGGGCACGTGCACTCACAAATGAGCCCAGAAGATAATCACTGAGCAAACAAATCCAGGCATGAAATAAAGAGCCACGGGCTTTGGATTAAATATATTCTACTTGTTTCTGTCAGATAAGGATGTGCAAAAAGGAGCAGGAAGAATATCTTGTTATTGATGGCCGTGCAAACTTGGTTTGGTTTGTTTTTGGAATATGTGACATCGGAGCCTTCTGCTCGAGGAATTTGTGTACCTCTTTGTGTATCCATTGCAGTGCCTATAAACAAAGACAGCAGCACTTGAGGTATTATCAGTTTGCAAAATTTAATCCAAGGCTTAGTGTCTTTAAAGGGTTTGGGGATTCAGTGAAACAAATGCACGTGGAGGGGAATCCTTTGAAGGCTGTTGATTTACTGAGCCCCAGATTGTTACAGAGGTGTCCATATCTGCACTGAAATCAAGGCAATTAGTTACCTAATTAGCAATCAGTTCTGTGTGCACAAAACTGTTGAGGTGTCCAATTCCTACATGTGTTCTGCTTGTGTTTTGTCAGACCCAAGCCTGACGCTCCCTTGTGTGGAGAGATGGCTGTGATGGGATTTGGGTGCAGGTTTGCTGATGGTGTGTTCTGGTTTAGTTTTCTTCTGAAATGATCGAGGCAGGAGGAGCCAACAGGTCTTAACAAAGAGAATTTTGGTGTCTTATTTGGGATCTTAAGCAACCTTGACTGTTGTTCTGGGATGTAACGATGTGCTCTCCCTTCCTCAAGACCCTGTTACCTTCTTAGCCGTGTTTGAAACAAAATGGACAAAGATGCACTGCGCTAGGTGAGGAATTAATGTGATCACACTTCCAAGGAATAACTGCAGCTTTCCTTGCAGAAACTCACACAAAGTGTCATCTCTACCTGCAGCTAAAACAGGAGGTGGGGAAATATGGTCAATAAATGGGAAATGCAAGAGAAAATGGCATCAGCATCAAGCCGTGTCCCCCTGAGTGTAATACTAAATGAAGATATTAGACAACAAACAAAACATGTGTAACATCAAGCAGATTTTATAAGTACTGTTCCAGATCTCTACTTTAAATTTGGATTTCACGTTGTGAAGTCCAAAAATAATGAGCTTTGCTTTCACTTGGAGGACTTAGAGAAGTGCAGCTGAGGAACAGGGAGTTTCTTTCCCAAGTAATACATGATGTGAAATCCAGGGAGGAATCCAACCCACTCCAAAGTCATGGCTGGGGACCTCTCTGATAGCCATCAGGAAGGCTGTCATAGCGGGAAGATGAATTTCTCCCACAAGAGAGACTTTCGCAGGAAGCCTTTCGAAAAGAAATGTTCTCGTAAGTAAATTGTACAGCTCATATAGATTCAAGGTCAAGGGGTTGCTATGAGCCCTGTCCAAATGTTAGCAGGAAATAAAACTGTAATAACAGCAGCCTTTCACTGCCATCAGCTCCTAATTTATAGGCACCCTAAGGAGCCCCTACCCTTCAGGAGATGGGCTTTATCTTTCTGGAGTTGAAGTTACAAACAGACTCTATTACCAGCTCTGTTTTCAGGCTGTGCTATGGATTTTACTCCTAAAGCTGGTTTGACCTAGAGGACTTCATGTTTCCTGACAGCACGAGGAGAATCTCCCCATAGGTTTAAAGATGAAGGGCCTGTGTATTTTTGAGATAGGGATTATTTAAAAAATGACTCTTGCATTTAAATCTCCACTCTGTTTGGGTCTCTGGGCCAGGCTACACGAAAGGCCGTGCCAGGAGTGGGGCTGACAGCAAAGCACAGCTGTAGGAAGGGAGAGAAGTCATCCAAAATGCCTCTGTACTAACAGAAGATGGGAAAGGGGGAAGTCTGGCAAGAGGACTAAAGAGTTAAGCCATTTTTAATTAATTTTCTTTAGAGGTTGTTAGGAAAACATTTTCATAAACAAGGCAATAAATTGCTTCCAACTGCTTGCTCAGGCATCTGCCTCTGCCTTTTCCCCCATGTGCCTTGGCTCGTGGGAGGAGGGGGCCTGGCCTTTGGGAGATGGGCAGGGCTGAGATTTCTGTTCCCAGAGCAGCCAGGAAAGCTCCACTGTGTCACTCCGCTCCTCTGAGTGGCTCTGGTTGCTTGGCATTCCTAGGCTTCAACAAGGACCACACAGTGTCTTTACCATTTACTGATTCCAGCTTTTCTTTGTCCTGCTCAATAAGCCAGTAGAATTACCCTGAAAGGGCTGTAAATAGTACAAGTGCTCTGAGCTCTGGGCAACGTGGGGGGGATGGAACAGCAGCGCAAATGAGGAAAAGGGGAAGAAACAGTGTTATCTGTCATGACTAGCAACAGGTTAGCTATGTAAAAAGCACATTTTCAAGCAGCTCATTTTAAAAAAGCACAGTGAAATCCAGGAGCTTCCCTTATTTGCTTGGTCGAGATTTCTCCCAAACCACACAAATTTCTCCCTCCCCTAGTGAGGATATGTGTGCCAGCGTTCAGGAAGCTGATAACCTGTGTACAAACTCCTTCCTAAAGCTTAAAAGGTGAGCTGGTACCTGCTGAGCCCCCAGTGATTCTGTTCCCTGTGTTCTTACATAGGTGAGGCTCTGCTTCCTCTCCAGAAAGCCTGGGGCAGTGGGGAAGGCTGAGACAAAATTCAGCCCTAGTTTGAGTCACAGAGAGGCTCTTTTTGGGTGAGTTTCTAACCTTTCTGCCTTTGCTTATCTATGTAGATGCACAGATGTCGTATAGACCAAGGTATCCTAGTGAATCTTTGGGGAACTTTTACTCACTAAGGCAAATTCTTTGTTGAGGATCATCTGCTCCACCAGCGAGGACTCGTTGTGGAAGAGGTGGGGCTGCATGTGACTCCACATGTGGGGAAACCACCAGAACTCATCCACAGATCTCAGCAGCAGGTCATCACCTTCATCCTCCTCCTCAGTCCCTGCAAGAGAAAGAAAGGGAAGAAAAAAAGGCATTAGAAAAGCAAGAGCAGAAAAGGCCCATGATTGATTTTTAAACACAGAAGAGGCTGCCATAAAACCATTAAATAAAATATTTAAAATTAATATTAATTAAAGCCAATATTAAATAAAAACAGTAAGATTTTAGTGTTTTGTTTTTTTTTTTTAGTGTATGTGGTCTTAAAAGCTCAACACCCCTCATTTTCTCTATTGGCTTAATTTTAATGCCACTCTATCCTTTCATCACCATAACCTGACGACTTGGATTTAATGGGACAAAACAGTGCCAGGAATATTAATGCTGGTTGCCAGGTCTTTTGAAAGCTGGACAAAAGATGACGTTCAATCAGTATTAAAGAAGGGAAGGCTCAGCATATATCTGTTATTTTCCATTTTGTCCTGATAATAATGTCACTGCTAAATACAAAATACTCTTAATATTAGGACAACATATGGGTGATAATGAAATCTTATCAATGCCACCCCTCCATCCCCCTTGTAACTGCCTCGTTTTTAGCCTTGGTTAATTGAAACCTGGTAATGTTTGGTAAAGTGTGAAACAAGTTTACAATAGTTTCAAAATATAATTAATTAGGTGGAAAGCACGAAGCAGTAATGGCAGAGGGCTTCTGAATGTTCACTAGGGCTCAGTATCCCATTTTTGCCAGATTTCATCTTGAAGTCAAACCAATCAAACCTCCTGTGCTAGTGAGGAGCTTCAGGCAGAAGTGAGGGAGTGTGGTTATGTCCAAGAAACCCTTCCATTTGGGGAAGGATCCGATGCTGCTCCCGCCCTCAGCAGATGTGTGTGCCCTGCTTTTTTAACTGGAAAGGCACAGTGACATTCCAGTAACTTCCCCCTCAAATAACTCGGCAGTGTTTGGTTTATTAGCAGCTTTCCTTTGTGTTCCTTTACCATTTAAACGCTTTTATTTGGCTCCAGTGGAAGGAATAATTGCCAGAATCAGGGTAGTGATGCAAACACAGAGATCTTGTCTTTCTTACAAGCTTTTTAACGTGTTGCAAAAATCACTGGAGGGAAATGCTGCACGGATGTCAGTGTTTACTTGGCAGGAACATGCAGAGATGCCTGTTCAGTGCCTGCACCTCAGCTCTTTGCTTTTGTTAGTCCCTGCTGCAGTGGCTTTTGAAGGATGCCACTACACAAAGGAGAGCATTCCTTTGAAACTTCCTCCTGCAGTCCTGGATCCCTTTGCTCCCCTCACTCTGCCGGTTCTAAGGAAGTTGCTCCCAGTGATGGAAGTGTTGCTGGAAAAAGAAAACAGCCTTGTTTTCCTGCTAATCCCTTACTGAAAAGAAAGGAGGGATGGCTGTCCCTCTGTGTCCTGCATTTGTTGAGTGACTGGTTTTCTGGGATGTGTGGTTCACCTGCAGTCACTCAGGCAAGAAACTTAACACAGGCTTTCAAAATAGGACAGAGGAGAGAGAAAATGGGGCTTGTGAAGCGAGTAAAGATATCTTTGATAAGCCAAAGGCAGGGATGAAGGGGAAAAAAGTGGATATTTGAAATATATAAAGAACTACAGTCATCTCACAGAAGATTTAGGTCAGAGTATAATTTAGTGCCTTATTAACTTTTGAAGTAGAGTGTGGTTCTTGAAATAATGTCATTATTAAAACCTATATTTTAAAATCCTATTTTTTTCCTTACACATTACTTTGTAAATTTAGATATACAACTAATCAAACTTTGCACTTTTTTACTGTGACAAAAATCAAACAAGATGAAGCATAACACTTTTCCAGTGTAAAGAGAAACAGCCCCATCCCGTAATGGCACAGCTGAAGTGGAGAGGTTGGAAGTTTGACATTTGGTGGTGGTGTTGCTTTTGAGGACAATTTTCCTTGCAAACCTTGGGAAAGAGTATTGCTTGAGTTTATGGCTTCTTAAGTAGTGGTATTTCAAAAATAATCTCGTGTAGATTTTAATGGAGTGTTTGGTGGATATTGTTTCAATATTTTTGCCCAATCCCTTACCCAGAGTATCGGAGGGATTTTGAGGTTTAATTTCCTGTACAATCAAGATTGTTTGTGTAACTTTCTTCATTTTAACCTGGAATCTTATGTCTGCTTTGAGATGTGTAGCGCTCCTTACACGGGTGACAATTCCAAGTTTGTTTGTGCATCATAAGTAATCCCATCTTTTAAAACTTCTTTGTTAGTGGTGTTAGAGCTGCAGTGCAGAGTTTCCCAGTGCCACAGAGGGGATGGTGGTGCTGAGATGAGCAGCGTTACTGATGTGTCAGCTATTGTGGTACAGATGTCAGCAACATCTTTTGATGAAAGTGTATAACTGTTAAATCTGCCAACACATCCCCACACTCATCTCCCTCCTGCAGTTTTAAAATGATCCAGGTTTTGGAAAGGAGAACAATCTCACACATTAAGGAAGTCAATAAGGCACAGCGGTTGCAGTGTGCTAATAAAACACGTTGAATATCTGATACTAAAAGCCTCTCTGGGTAAACAAGCCACATTTCCAGTAATTAAAGAACACCTTCCTATGCTTTATTTATAATGAGTCAATAAAGTGTATATTGCACGGAGAATACTTTGAAACCTTTCCACTGAGCTGATATGACAAAACACCATCTCCAACCTGTAAATGAAGTGTTCAGTTAAAAACCCAGCTGCACCACTGAGTCCAGGTCCCTTCATGGAGGCAATGACATCCTTCAATGTGGAAGTGCTTCTGAGCTGTTTCTGGGAGCCTGGAGAGCCTTGGGAGGATGGCACACATGCATATTCTTCTATTTTCTCTGTTATATTTCAGCGTTATATCAGCTGATGGCACTATGGAGGGCGTCGGGATGAGGGGAGGAAAAATACATTGGCAAGTCAGGGGGTTGATTTTGCAGACAGGCTGCATGTTTTCTGCCAGCCACTGTCCAGGGTGTCATAATATTCATTTAAAAAAATCATCCCTCTCTCCATCTTTTCCCTTCCTGGGACTGCTTTTCTCCACAGTGGACACTGATGGCCACGGCCAAGCAGCTCCTGCTTTAGAGCACCTCAGGCTATTTTTGCTTGGTTTTTTGTATGAAGTGCGTGTCCAATTAATCTCCAGAAGGAACAACTACACAGGCAGGTCAAGATGAAGTGAGAACACTGTAGTTCTGTCTCCAAAGCTGCTCTCTGATCACAGGTCTGCCACTGCCTTGTTATATGACTCCAGGCAAGTAATTCCATCTCTCTCTCCCTCTCATTTTTCTCAGGCTCTCCACCCCCTGTCCGTAGTCTGTCGGGTTTCCCGGGCAGCAGTTGCTCTCAGCATTGTGTGCTTGCACGAGGGGAAAACAGCCTGGACTTAGTGACAGGGGTACAGACACATCATTTTGGTTGCCCTCTCTCTGCTCAGCCCTCAAAGGCTTCCTGATCTCTCTTCTCCCCGGGGGACCTGCCTTCCTCCACAGCTGCCTCATGGTCCACGGAAGCAGGGACTGCATCATCATTCCCAGCTTTTCAGCTCACCCTCCCATCCTCTCGCTGGCTCCTCTGCTCCAGATGAGCATCCCAGCTTCCCTGAACGGGCTGAATGTCCTGACTGCTGAGGATTTTGGAGCTGGTCCTCAGAGGTGGGAAGGGTATGGGGTTAGGAAAGGGGAAGGACAGGAGGTTCTCCCTTGCAGGGAGTCTCTTTTTGCCTTGGCAAAAGATCCACCAGGGATCCTCGTGGCTCAGTGGCAGTGGAGGGAAGCCTGAGCAGCGGTGCAGCAAAGTGTTAGGGAGAAGGCAAAAGAGGAGGAAAAGAAATGAAATTTTTAAAAAGGGTTATTGTACTGTGGAGAAATGGAGCAAAAACGAGAAAGGGGTCATGGGGAGGAGGAGGAGAAGTAGAAGTGCCTAATGTTCCACAGGAACAGTGCAAGTGCGCAGCCTGTTACTGCCCCCAGTGTGGAGATAGCAGGCTTTCAGGACAGAATTCTTTTCCTGTTGGCTTCCTTTTACCATCCCTCCTGATTTGCAGATCCCTGAGACAGATCACCTTCACAGGCATAACAAAATCTTGTGCATCCGTTCAAACGCTTCTGCCTCTTCAGAGGTTATGAAACAGGATTTTTCCAATCTTTTGTGTTTCATCATGCCAGAATAAAACCTTAGCCTGTCTCCTGTGCTGTCCTGTGCAATCAAAGATATCTCAGCAGCTCCTTTGCCTCTTTTATCACCCTGAGATTTACTACCACACATCTTTCAGGAAAATACCAAGGGCATCCTCATGTAGCTGAGCAGCTCATCCACAGTGTACCTTTACCCCTTTGGACACTGGATGCTAAACTGGGGGGGAACATGTATTTCCCACTGCTCCACTGGCTCACTGTGTCGTTTCAAAAGGGCACGTTTAAAGCTAGGTTTGAAATTCTGTCACCTATTTAACTGCAGCTACCTGAGAGCACGGGGTTCCTTCTTACCTGTGTGGTAAAATTTTCCTGAAAATCCAAGGTTGAAGGTAAAATTTGCAACCTGAGTGCGCAGTAAATTTTGAGTCTCTAGTAAAGCCTGAAATAAATAGAGAAATTAAGATGCATTTAGAAAAGTTAATATTGATTTTTGGAATGCCTCATTTTAGAAGTTGTGTCCAGCTGAGGAGATACAAAAAAGCAGATACTGTTAAAATGCTTCACGTTTTATTTCGGGCTCATTCTTTTTTATGAGACTGGTGCATCAGAGTTTGATGGTCTAGAAATGCCGGTGATAGCACCTAAGTGCCCGAGCAGGGGATGGCTCTGTGGCTTGGACCAAGATATTATCTGTTGTGGCAGTGATCTATGGCAGGACTTGGATCCAGTCATTCAGAGTCAGCAGGATATTGGCTCATTAAGTCACCCATGCTCTGGGTTATTAGTGAAGCTTGATAAAAATGTGCTTAAAACTCGAAGTAAAATGAAGAATACTCTTTGCCATGCAGACAGGGGGGCACTGGGATTTACTTACCTGCAGAAACTTTATGGACTGTGTCTGAAAACCAAATTCAGGCTAAAGTGTGAATGAGCAAAAACTCCAGTTTTGATCTGTGCTACAAGTGATGTCCAAGTCAGAAAATAAATCCCTGTTTTATTCTCTCCCCCAGGCAGAAGATTGGCCCACTCTAAGTGAAATGGAGGGAAAGGGTGTTGCTTACAGAAGCAATAGGTGTAGTCTTGCTCACCTATCCATTTTTTCTCTTGGACATATTTCCAGTTACTAAAGCAAGAGAAAGGATGGTTCAGTCTGTGTGAGCTATTTACATTTACTAGTAGTTGTCACCTTGGCACTGCTTCTAAAGCTGCTCCTTGTGCACTTCCAACCACCAGCCCCCGGACTGTGAGCGAGCCACATGTGAGACGGGCAGCGCATTTATCTCCCTGTTGGTCTTGCCAATGCTGAATGGGTTATAAACTCTTATTTTCATCAATTTTCCGTGTCTCCATTACGTGGCTCTTGAGAACTTTTCCTCTTATCTATTAATAACATTTCTATCGATCATGTTCCCGCGGAGTTCAGCGATAAAATGATTGCGGTGCTTTACACACGCTCCCGGTCCAGCTGATGTTGTCCTTCATTTGAAAAAATTACATTTTGTGTGGTCATTACTAATTTCACTTAACATTACAGGAAAATAGTTTTGCCTTTTTTGCTCAGCCCACTGCTCTGATTTAAATAACAACAACCACCGCTTCTACCCTGGGACCTTAAATCAAAGGTATCTCCAGTCCGGTGTAAATGATGACACCGGGTTTAAGCAGCTAAAGAGTGTGAGTGTGACACAAAAGGCTGTCAGCCATTGTGCCTCTGCCTTCATTTTTTAATTAGTAACATTTCTTAGGTGGCAAGGAAGGTGTAAAGCCAAAAGAGGGTGTTTACCAGCTACAACAGCCACCGAGCAAATTCCTCTCCTTGCTGAAGGAAATAAAGTAATGTAAGGACAGTGAATCTCGTGCTTTAGCATTAAATATTAAGGCAGCAGTAAGGTTTGCAGCCTGTCTTGCCAGACATTTAGCAAGTTGATTATTTCAGTCCTGTGACGATTTCACATGTGGGACTATATTTACATAATATATAACAACTAAATGCTCACTAAAATGTAAAACCTCGGAGATCAACACCACTGTTAGCTGAGACATTGAGGAGAATCCCCAGCTGGCAAAACCTGGCACTAAATTGACACCATTAAAGTCAGAAGCACGGAATCTGAGTCATTACATTTTAGAACATAATTTTCCAAGCTCTGTACAGCATTTTAGATGCGCTGAGAAAGACTGATGGGCTGAGAAAAATCAATTTAATTTTCCTTTGAGGAAAGAACATCTTGAGAAATTATCATCACTTAACATATAGTGCAAAGAGGTGCACAAAACAAACATTGTTGTATCAGCCTGGCTTTTCCCTCTCCTCTCCCTCACATCTCCATAAGATGACAGAGCTGTGGGATGGGCAGGAGCCTTCCAGCCCGGTGAGGTCTCCCTGAAAACACAGAGCAAGGATTAAGATGTAAATCCTATAACCTGCAGTGTGTCAAGCATTTTTCGCTGTCTAAAGGGCAAATCTGTCACTCAAACTGGATTTGGCTTGATCCTAAAGGCTTTTTTTTTTTTTTTCCATTACCATTCCCATATATGCATGTTAATTTATAATATTAATTTATAGTGCAGCTAAATTTCAGTTTTATGACCTCTCCTCTTTTTCTTACTAAGAAGATCTTGTCAGTTAAACCAGTCTAAACTTATTTTGTCACTACTTGACTGTTTGGGGGAAGGGGAGTAATGCCTTCTACATCCTTAATATGAAATACCAGTTAAATAGATCATACTTAATAATAATAATTCTCCAAGGAGAGAACTGTGATACTCACCTGCACATGAAACACATTTCCGTGCCAGGCTAAGCAAAAAGTGGGTTTTTTTTAAGGTAATCAAAGCTGTTCTTTCAAACACCAGCTCTTAATAGCCTGGAATCAATCAAAACTCACGGTTTTCATTCTATTAATTGATTCTTTGCTTTGTCAATGAAGCCTCTCTCTGACACCCACAAGATACAGTTCCTTCTTTACATTGCATTTACATTCAGCAGCCTTTTACATTAATCCATATAATTACCTTTTGTAGATTCGAAGTTGGCATGTCTTTATTCTCCATAATTGGTGCATCTATTAGGAAGAAGTGATATTTTCCTGCTATGTCCTTTTTAATTATAACTCTATCCTTCATTTACATAATAAACTTTTTGGGGCGATTTCTGCAGGAACATTTCATGCCTAATAGGAAGCAATTTGCTTTCCTTCATTAAGTACATTAAAACTTCGTGCCCCAGACATCACTGACTGTAAACATTTGATTCTGCTCGAATTTAATGCACCAAGGCATTTTGCTCTGCCATATTAGGTTTATTTATGTGCTGTGTTCTGGATTGTTAGCTGCTAATGAGACTTGGGCTCTTATTGCTCTGAGGCCCGAGCACTAACCTCATTTTAATGAGTTCATTATTTGCTGCCTTCTGAATGGAAGACAACAAATTTTCCTTTTAATTAAAGGTCAAAACACCTCTGGCTAAGGAAAGTGTAGAGGTTATCAAATCCTCAGAGAAGGGAAAAGAATGGCTGTTTGTGATTTTGATGCCGAGCATGGGCCAGCCAGGCTGAGGTAGGAGGTGTTTCTCTGGGG